TTTACAACTTGATTTTTCATTGAGATTCGTGCCCGATCAAGATAATTTTTTTGACGATATATCAAGTAATATAAATTGATTTTTTTTGGATTCCGCGTTTCCTCTGTTTTTCTATATGGTTCTTTCTTCTCCATAGTTTGCCGGTACATCAAGTTCAGCCTTTTTCGTGGTATCGGAGACAACTCGAGCTCATTGCAATTGATCAACCACACTTCCCTGATCACTGATCACGCTTCCACATTGCAAATAAATGACCATCATTTTTCTTCATTTCTCAAATTTGTTATATCATATATCAAAATTATTGTTTTCCCATAACTATCAAATTATAACTATCAAATGTAGCAACCCCAACTCCTAAAACTCTTTCCAGCTAATGGATTCAATGGATTTCTAGACAACAAAACCAAGTGTTTTACTTAACTACTCTTTAATTCAAATGATAAGTCAAAACTCAATCTTGTATATACTTAATGGAATTTTTAATTTTAGGCATTGTTGAGTTATATTTACTATTGGTAAGCTCTATATTTGTGGGGCTCTTTGTGATGTTTTAGACATAGATGTGTGCCATATTATTTTGGGTAGGCTTTGGCAATTTGATAGTGGGGCAATGCATGATGGTAGATCTAATATTTATTCATTTAAATGGAAAGGCAAGAAAATGAGACCATTGCCAATCGCACCCAGTCGCGATACCAAAGCCGCCAAAATTATCACTGTGTGTAATTTCGGGCCACACCTTGTTGCAAATGAAATAATTCAATGATTCTGGCATTAGTTGCTACCGACTTTGCTTAGATTAAAGTCTCCAATGCCTACAGTAGTGACATTCAATAATTAATCCAATTTTTTTGCTTATATCGCTCCTCTTGAACCGCGCCTTCATTTTCCCCATTTTGCAACAATATAAGAGCCCTTGGCAATTTGATAGTGAGATTTTTTTTTTTTTTTAGCATTATGTGTGTCTTATGCTCTGGTGTCATGTCAAAGTGTCAAGGCTACAAAAGAGTATTGAGAGAAAGATCTGCACAATTTCTCTCTATTTTTTATCGTGAATTTCTTAATATGGCATGCCTTCTTATTTTATTCTATTTTCAAAATTTTCACCTAATTTTTGGTCTATCTCTCTTGTTTTTATCTTATTTATTTCGATTTGGTTACTGCTAACATTGACTACTATCCATACTTTCGATTTAGTCAACTTTTTGTCTCCTTGTTTCATTTTCTTTTGCTTGTAGTGTGTTGAGTTTATAGGAGGAAGTGGCGGTAGAGGAGAAGACACGTGCAGCTTGTAGTGTGTGTATGCCCGACCGACATGTGTGGATGGATAGTGTGAAGGGGAATACGCGTGTGAGATTAGGGGAATGGAACTTTTATTATATCCAGTGAACGTACGCTCCTCTACGTTCGGTTTACGCAAAAAAGCGTCTGTACCGAGCGAGTACCGAGTTGTACCGAGTTTTTTTCATAAATTTCCAATTATCAATATACAATCAATTTTGTCTAAGAGTATTTTGGTGCTCTAACTTAGATTCTCGAATGTATAAAATAAATCTAAAATAGTCCCGTTTAGGTTAAATTAGGATCAATTTTGTATAACCAAGAGTCTTAATCAGGATTAATTTTATATCATAATTGTAACATGGAAATCATTTTGAACCAATTATAGCAGATGATTCCCTATGTTTAGAGATAAAATTTTTAATAATAAAATTTAAAATATGAGGTATTTTGATTTTAACAGTTATTGGGCCATATCATAGAGATTCAAGGGTTCCTTCCTTAAATAAGAGAAGAAAATGAGATATTCATAGGCTGTAATGTAATATGGCCTGCTAGTGATGTTGCAGGGAGCTAATCTATTAGTATTTGCACCATTTTTAGAGCTAAGATACAATTGTAGCAAGCTAATTAGCTTTTTGATATGCAAGTATTTGTAAGTGTTTCATTCGTTAATCTTAACTCTACAAGTTTATTCTTAGATGATAGTGTAGAACTAGACTCTTCTTTACAGTACTATAAGTAGCCCAACTGGTCAAGGTTGGTGAAGTTTTTTTCTGTAGTTCTGTAGCTATGATGGATTCAATTTTTTTTAATTCATTGCCTATTGAGCAGAAACATAGTCGCCAGTCGGATCTTATGAAGATTGATGATGCTTATATGTATAGCTCAATCCAAAGGTAATTTGGTAAATTATACTTTTTTTTTTACAATTTATTGGTTGAATTCTTATGTTAAACAATGATTGTTGTTAGAAGCTGTGTAATTTATAGCTTTATTTGACTTTAACTCGATGAACATTGACTTATTGGGCATTACAACTCGTCTTCTGTGGACAATATCAAGACTTGATAGTAACAATAGTTATTTGAGGAAGAATAGTAGACAAATATTTTGTTAGTTATGTATGAAATCTGCTTGTGTTGATCAATCGGGTGTTACTTAGTGCTGTGTGTTCGAACGCCCTGGTGTTGCATGCCCGAGTGCCACAATGTTGTGTCCCCGATCGCCTTGGCGCTGGACAATTTTCCACAAGATCAATAGAGGGCAGAGCGCCACGGCTTCTATATTTGGTGCCATAGGGCTCCAAACTGGCATCGCAACGCTGCGGGACAGGCTGGCAATTATCTTTCTCATTTTTCATTGAGGGTGGTGTTCCTTGGTTGTTTGAATTGTATCTCTGTGTTTGTTCTTGTGTAAGAACGGAGGAAGAGAGAAGAGAAGCAGTGATAGAGTAAGAGAGAAGATATATTTGTACTAATTCTCTAAAATTTTGGTAGTGGATTTCTTGGTGTGGTGTGGCTCGGTAGTTTTTTCCCAATTTTGAGTTTTTCCACGTTAAATCCTGATGTTTTTTTATTTTCACTGTTTTTACCGTTCTTGTTTGTGTTCGTTACGTATTTTACTTCCATCCCCAAAACATTGAAGGAGTGAGATCAAAGAGCTAAACAGTTCAAACACCAAAAACAGTGAAAATATTTCAAAAATAGTTTTCATATATCTTCTTCCTACAACTATTCTATTTATAATAATCCAGTAGAAATCCCTAGAACTTTCTAGAAACAGGTAACAAACTAAATCAGCTATCCCAAAAAAACGTTTTATCTAAGATGCTCTACCTCACCTACCACTTCAAGAAATTCTGCATAATATTCTTGTGGCTTATTTTTAATTTTGTATTTGAAGAAACGATATCGCATACATTTCTCAGACAAGAT